TGTTTCCTGAATTAATTCGTGTGACAAATGCAAACATTTTGGACCATTTAAACACAGCCGATTTTGCAATAACTCGGTCACACGGGCACCTCGTGAAATTATATCAGCTGGGTTTTGTTCTGATGAAATATGATACCAGTGTTTGATATCTGTTAGTTCTTGTATAACCGCTACTCGATTTGCGACAAACGTCTTATACCTGTTTGGTGCGTTATTAATTCGTCCTAGAGCTATTATGGAATCGGTATAAAGAAAATAATTTTGAGCTTGTACGGTTAGAGTTTCTGTGACTATTTTGTATAATTGAGCCAGTACAACAGCAGCTGCTAGTTCTAATCTTGGAATTGACTTTGTTTTTATAGGAGCGACTTTTGATTTCGCACATAATAAACGCACCTTTATCTGAGACTCATTAATGCACCGAACGTATATGCACGCCCCATAGCTTTCAAGACTGGCATGAACAAATCCATGATGTTCAATATTAGCATAATTAACCGTTACCCAACGCGGTATGGAAAAATTGGAAATTACTTTAAGATTCTGCAAACGAGATTGCCATTCGTTTTTTAAACTGCCCGGAATTTCTTCGTCCCAATTTAACTGGGATTGCCATAATTTTTGAACATCAGAGTGCCCTATGGGACGTAACAACAGAAGAATATAAAAACAAGCAGATCAGGCAAATGCGTATGCAAAAATTAAAGAGGCAATGGGAATCCCCGGATTTGGACAAAAGCAAATCATACAAAAAATTAAAAATATTTGTTCAACTTATTCTCAGGAAGTTAAGAAAATTAAACTATCCAAGAAATCAGGTGTCGGAACAACCGAACTTTATAAGATTGTTTTCACATATTAAAAATCTTTGGCCATTATTCCCCCGAGGCTATTAGTGTGGATTATGAACTTGCCATCCACAACGCTCGCTCTACGTCACGAATTTCCTGCTACTGATATTAGAGGATGTTTCTTCCACTTAGTCACAAATTTACGAACGCATTTATCCGAAGAGCAACTATTGGGACGATACATAATGCAGATCCGAACTTTGCACTCCTAGCCAGGATGATTACGTCCATTGCATTTGTCCCTCCAAGTGACATTATATATGCGGTAAATTCTTTGGAAAATTATTTGCCGATAGACTTAGAACCTATTCTGGGGTGGTTCATAAACACGTACGTTGGTAGACTCCGCAACAACGGAACAAGAGCTCCATCTTACATATCCTTTAGCAATTTGGTCACTGGTCAGTGTACCAACGTACTTTAAATGGAGACGATAGAACAAATAACTATGCTCAAGCGTGCCTTAAAAAAATCCAGATGAATTTCGGTCTTACCCATCCACAAATTTGGAAATTTACAGAGGAGTTGAAAAAGACCAAAAGACCTAGATGCCGACTACGAGAGGTATGTAGCAGGACACGCCGCTCCTCGAAAACGTCTGAGATACGAAGAAGCTCATAGTCGCATTTTAAATATTGTAGTAAACTATCAGCCTCAAAATATTATTGAATTTTTACGAGGTTTGTCTTATATACGAATTTAACTAAATATAAGAATGTGGATTTTAACTGTCCTACAAATACAGGGTGCCCATTATGTATGAAATATAGTTTTTCTATTTCGGTGTCACAATGATGATTTTGTACAACTGTTTTCGGAGTTGTACAAAGACAGTGATTATAGTCGTTTTTTTTGGTAACTCATCTCTTAAGTTGGCAGTTACTAGTTAGTACAAGTAGGTACTTCGTTGGGTACTTCCATGTTTGAACTTCAAAATGTCAGTCTTACTACGCTGCCAACCTAAAACTTAACGTCATAGAAAGTGTTCCCAACATAAAACATGTTAGTTCTAATGTTCCCTATAGTTTCTGATAATGATTTTTTTAATTAAATTAAAGCACCGAAATAGAAAAAATAGTATGAAAAACGCGTGTTACAATGCTTTATTGTAATACTCCTATCTTGCGGACACTCGTGGCTATGCTTCGCGTCGCCACTCGTGCCACAAGATAGTCGTATTACAATAGGTCGCATTGTGACACTTGTCTTTCAATATACTATTATAAACCTCTCGCTAGGAAAGATTGCCGGTTACATATAACGTGAGGTTAGTTCGGCGCTGTAAAACTCAAACCCCGCCGCATAAACGGCCAGCTAGCTCAGATTCTTAATTAAAAGAAGGGTTCGAGATGAGAATCTTCCACAGCGGTTTGTTCGTTTGGGCATATAACATAAGTTTTTGATCTTTGGTAGTCACTAGAAATGATTAGTTGAGCGCCACCCAATTTTGCACAAATTCTGACCTCTCCTGTATAGAAATTGGGAAAACACAAGAGAGCCAAATAATAAGTTCACTACGAGCAATTCTGATTTATTAATCCTGGCAAAAACGGTGCAGGATCGGCAAATAAAATGTATCTTCCATACGACAATAACAAATACTTTAAATGACAAAAATAATCCCCAAATAAATTCCTGAACACTTCCCTAATAATTACGTTACCAGCCCCCTACAACAATGATCGAGCAAAAATGTAGTTAAGATTTCAATGGATTCAAAGATTGAATTAAGTTAACCCGAATAACAACTCATATAGGCAACACTGGGTACAAGCAAATTAAAAATCTTAACTTGAATAACACATACGCTGTCTTCTCCGAAAAAGAGCTCTCCTTCGAAGTTCCAGTTCTGTAACACAAAAACAAACCCCAAGCTACCACGCTCGGAACGATTATATGAGCCGGAAGGGCCAAAAATAGCTTACTCGTAGCCGGCTCGTTTACCCATACGTTAAATACAGGTGCGTTGCTCGTGAAGAGAGCCACGACCTCAAACACTAGACGCGAACAAAATACAAAGCTCCAATCATAAATCGTCGGAAGGTTACACTAGATTAACGGTATTGAAGCAAATAAAAAAAAAGGTTGTGTAAAAGATCGTATCTTCCGAAAATTCCACAATCAGCTGGTCGCTCCCGGTATCGTTTAGGTGTCAGCGCTTATCTACTCGGTGGAACGCCGGATAGCTGCCGGCAATCAACAGGTGTTCGTACTCCGGAATATTCGCAAGATGCAAATTCATTTACTATCCCAAAATTAGGCCAGGTCAATGTCCTCCGCACACAAGAATGTGCAAGGATATACTATAAACTATACCATACAAGGATTCGTCTGTACAAGGATTGACCGGTACAAGAATTCATCTACTACATGGACCCCCTAAAAGTAATGAAGATGTAACACTCCCTTAACGAGATTTTTAATAACATACCTGAAATCGTCAGGAGGGTAATGAAAAATACTTAAATCAATGAAAGATGGAAATTATCCAACCTCAAATTGTGAATCTGAAAGAATTTTAGATAACATAACGTAAAAGAAAGCCAACGCCATTTCACTTACATGTAGGTAGGGCGATGAACTTCAACCAGATATATAGCCTCGCAATGGAGAAAACGGCTTCTGAGTTACACTACTCGACAACGCCAATAAAAAAGGTAAAATTGCCAGAGATTTCACGTGAATGATGGCAAATATTACCCACTGGTTTAAGAAGAATTCACAATGCCACGCTCTACAACAAGTACAACCTCGTTGGCTTTAAAACGGAAATGAAGTGAAAAAATAACGCGATTCTGCGCTAGGAAAGAAACACGCGTACAAGTGACGCCATCTCACCTATATCCTACCTAACCTAGCAAGCGGTAATTTTGAAATTTGAATATGAATAAACTAAACTGTTACATACAGAACATCTGATCCCGGTCTACAATCGTCTACTTCGTTGGAAAATGCGCTAAAAAGCGCGAACAAGTAAAAATCAATTTACTACTTACGTCGACATGCTTGAGGAGCATACCGTATTGAGAAGTGGGAAGCTTACGCCGAACATGTCTCCAAAGGACGTTGAAGTATTATGGGAGCAATTAGTTGCAAAATTAAATGCTGTCGGCGATGGCCCTCAACGTGACATTCATGGGTGGAAAAAGGTATGTTACTATTAATAAATGTACACAAAATTATGTATAGGATAAATATAATCCTTTTACAGGAATTCACAGAATGGAAGAGTATAGTCAGAAAGAAGGCCAGAGGTGGAAAACCAATCAGTGAATTAGAAAATCGCATGCTACGAGCTACATCCCAAGCAGAACAGAAATATTGATATAATGTTGACCAAATATTTAAACTTATTGGCAAGATATTAAAACGCAATATTGCACCAATGGCAAAATGTGAACATTCTGCAATATTGTATATATATTCAAACTCAATATTAATGAAAGATTGAAAAACTATACACATACATACTGAACACCAATAATGAAGTGATATTGTGCGTTTATATATCAGCAACATCGTTTTTTTTATTACACGATATTGACTGATTATTGGAACTCGATGACCATGATATATCAAAAAAGTACACTCATATATATTGAAGAATAATATTAGAATAGTAATGCATATTTGTATAGGTGCAACATTGTTGTCCATTATTTCATAATATTGGTGGGTTATTGGAAATGGAGTTCGACGCAATATTTAAAAACTATTAATAGATATATATATATATATATTATGTATAGTAATATTGAAGCATTTACATAATTTACACCAAGTTAACATAGGTATCAAAAGTTAAACCTTATAACAAAATGAATTGCTATAAGCCATTCACAATCATTTTTGAATCTCATATACGAGATATTTGTTGGCAATAGTGTTATTTGCAATGCAATAACATTACATTTTCATATCGTAATTGATGACAAGGGCGTTAATTAATTTAAATTAATTTTAATTCTAATTCATGATGAAACTGAAATGGAATATTTAAAAATTAAACATTTGACGTGCCACATTTGACGCTCGGCTAACAAAAAAAATATCGACGTGAATAGCTTACTTATTTGTACTAAAGTAACTGTTTAAGAATGTAAAAAAATGTACCAATAAGAGAAAAAAAAATGTACCCCTATAATAAAAAAATGCTGCTCTTTTCTTGAGACTTTTGTAGATAACTTCTATTTTCTATGACTTCTCCGACTTATCTGTAATAATATTGTGTTAACTTATCATTCTTACACAGGGTGTAAAGTTACCTTCTGGTGCTCTACTTTTTCTTCCACCTTCCCAATCTGCTGCACCTGCCAGAGCAGAACTAATATTGCTTAGGATCTCTTGCTCTGTTGCATTTGGGTAATTTACCCTTACTGCCACTGCAATAATAAATAAAGTTAGTAAGAAATTTACAAGTAAGTATGTTATTTCATAATATTAAGACAACTTTTGATCATAAACGTTCATGGGACTTAAAAGAAATGTTTTGTTTGTTTAGCGAAATAGTTCCAAGACTGTCAATTTTGAAAACAAACATAAACTAACTAGTTCAACATAGTGCAGTGCAAATAAACAAAACCCACTACCTATGCGACTACCAAGATAATTGATTCAGTTAATTAGGTTACAAACAAATAATTTTTACAATTTACACTACAAAAAATAAAATAACTAGATACACTAAGTTTACACTTATTTTGGCATGGAGATAAAAATGACTTCAAATTTAATACATTACCATAAATAGCTTCTAAAATTTTTATTAATGTTGACAAATTCTTCTTTCCCTTCTTGCCTTTGGCAGAATATAGTACAGCAAGGTTTTTTTCCAGTAAACGTTTAATAATGCTGTGAACATTTTTTCTTAGAGTAAGTCCTCCCACCAATGATAATATTTTTGCCTACAAATATAATAACTATTAGGTGAACATAAATCACAATAATTTATTTACCAATTCGTTGAACAAGCCTGCATCATTTAGTTTTCCATTTAAATCTTCTAGCTCATGAACTGACTCAATGGGAACTTTGAATTTATCTAATTGTAAACTTGGAATGTTATGGGTTACATGAATATTTTTTACTTCAGCTAAAATGTTGCCGATTTTCTTATTAATTTCGGTTATGTCAAACTTTATAGCAGCAACCGCTTTTAAAATTGTATGAACTGTGGTAGAACTTTCATTAGCACCCCCATCTAGAAATAGAATAATTTAATTTGTAATAAAATTCATACATATGGAATTATAACTGTAAGTAATGAAATTATTACCTAGTGGAATTGCTTCAACCTGGAAAGAAGGCGAAGGTGACACTGATTCTACAGACTTCTCAGAACCATACCGATTATCGAGTGGTTCTTTTTCTACCACGTATACATTTTTCATCAATTGACTGGTAACATGTGCACTTCGTACTTTTTCATTACTACTTTCCGATTCGGTATCATCAACATTAGATGTGTACATTAGCATGTTGGTTTTTCTTTTTGCCATCGCTAGGTTTGTAACGGTTCCTTTGTAAGTGGCGTTACATTCCATATAATTTATGTTAGCATCTGGGTCATCGCAGTTATCAATTAATTTTTGTAGTTTTTGACGTGGTACCTTTGGCCATAGGTATGTGGTGTTTGTCTCATCAACAGCCCATGATGATGGGACATACCCCACAGCGTTCTCCTTCTCCCATATTACAATATCCCATGTTCCCATCCTTTCTGGTTGATCTTTAGTAAAAATTTGTACCCTAAAAATGTAATAACAACTGGTAAGTATACAAATATTTACTTCTGTGCAACACATGTAAATATAAATAAATATACAAAGGCAATTTAATGACACTTGTATATCTAGATGTTTGAATAGAAAACTTTGATCATTAGAAAATATCACTTTTTGAATACAACAAAAATAGCATTTTCCATAATTTACGCACTACATTATCGCAGAGCAATTTTTTGGAAATATGAATGGTCAAATTTTGAATGTTCCAACAAATAGAAACACAAGAAAATTGCTTTGTGTTGGTGCGGTAAATGGACAACGCTTTCAGAAAAAACTTAACCTGGGATCTATACGTACTTCTCCACTCACCCTTTAACAATGATGTAATAACCCAATCGCATATGCAGGAAATAATGCCTTTTCTAAATGTAATATTATACATTTTGTAGACACATCATCCACTCCTACCACAAACTCAAAAGTGGATAAGTCCTTTACTTTAAAAACGTTTAGCTTGGATGACTTAATAGGACTGTCAAAAACATCCCAGCAAGATTGAAATATGGGACCCTTCAATTGAATAGGCATATCTTTTGTTTGTAAAATTACCCTAACTTTCATTACTTTCCCATTTTTTAAGATCACATGAGAATCACAATCTTTCGCAACATTTAACTTATATTTGTCCTCAACACTTATCTGAATAATTTTATTGCATGTTCTTTTAATTATGGTAACACCTTGTTTAACGGTATTGTATTTAAATCCTTTGTTTCTCTCTTCTGCCAGTCTCATACATGCTTGAGCTAATGGTTTGTTCGGTGTACGTAACATTTTCTTAATTTTACCCAAGTAGTTCTCAAAAACAAAGCAATTAATTTTGTCTAAACTTTCATTATTATTAACACTGTCTTCAACTAAATGTAAAAGGGAATGAGTATTATAAACTGGCTCCTCTGGTGTGTAAACTTTTTCAAAATCTCCACAGCATTTTCTAATACACTTTTTAGCTATAGCACCCAAATCGTTTCTAAAATCTCCTCTACAACATATTCTCATTGCACTAAACAAAAGTAAAAAGTGTTTGTACATAGCAGGAGGTAAAAGATCGTGAAGAATGAATGGTCCGATGTATAAAAGGAATGTACGAAACTCTGTCGCTTTCCATCTGTCCAGTTCCTCAATTATCCGAGGTTTCCGATTAAACTCTACACTCATTTGGTCTCTAACAATTAGCATTCTTCGTGAAGCTTCCTTTCGCATAGATGGAGCAATTCTAAATAACATATTTCCTTTAAACCAGTGATTTAGTAGCCGACGCATGGTTCCAAGGCATGCCATATGCATATAGTCTAAAGGAATTCCCGATACAAGTCCAAAATTGTTTATTTTTAGAAGAGGAGACACACCCAAATGATGATTTTTATGCAATTGTTCTACAAAATTTGAATCTGTTCGTGGAAGAGAACAACCAACTTCATTATAGCGATAAACGATCTTTCCTTCCAACCTTTCACCTTTGACATTGCATCGTTCGCAAGAAAAATAGCCATTGTGATTTTTTATATACTTCAAAGCTGCTCTCGCAGGAGCATCACATACTAAGGCTTTCAGTTTTACATAATAGGTTTTGTTATTATGTTCAAATCCACTTGTTGAAAGATCATTTAATTCAACAATAAATTTATGAAGGTATTCTTCCATATCATTAGGTTTACTATCTCCTTTGTATAGGGCTATTACAAATGGTTTTGGGTTGAATCCTTTAAAATAAAGTAGCCCTAAAATGGGCCAAAATTGTAGAGAGCTGCTTTTATATATAGGTAGCCCATCTACATTGCAAATGAGTTCTAAAATATTTTTGTCATTTTTTTTAACGATTATATTGTCAAGACCGTTATTAAGTTCTTCGATTAAACGATTTTTTATGCCAAAGTAAAAAAATAATCCATTACTTTTGTTTGCGGAAGCCATATTTCTATATACAAGTTTTCGTGGTGTGCCCAAAAGAGTTTTGCTGCATAGCGGTAAGTTCGGATGATGAGGCTTCAAAATACGTAATAAACTATTTAATTGGTTGTGATTCACCTTTTCATTTAAAGCCCATATTTGAAGATTGTGCAAGAGATTGTCTTCTTCAATGAGAGTCGATGCATATGCACTACATTCATTGATATTTGAGTTCTCAACGTCATTGCTGTGCTCTGAATAGTACACTCCTTCAGCAGGTACAATACTTTCCAAATGGTGTTCATTAGGACTTTCGTCAGTAATACCATCGCCTAACTGCTCAAAGGTACTTAAATTGTGAATATTAGCAAGACCAGGAGGCGATGCGAAAATTTCAGTTTTAGGATGGTCAGTTGAGCAATTCGATTTAACTTTTTTGTTGGGCGTAACATAATTTTCTTTTTCTTTTATTAATAATCTTTTTAAGTGCATACTTTTCCTTGATCTTGACATGTCTAAAACAGTAATAAGTATTCCTAAATATAGTAATTGTGTACCAATTGCTTAATAAAATAAAAGCAGCTTAGTCATTAGGCTAAGGTTAAGGTGTATGGATTTTTGGAATACCGCTTAGTCCAAAAGTTAAAAGGATACCTACACAAGTTATGTACCAAACGTAATATTTTTTGTTTTAACTCTTACTAATCCATTACCATTAGTGACGTGTACCAAAATGGTTTAGTTTAGCAATAAAAATAAAAAACCTGACATTTTTTATGAAGTGTAACATGGTGTATCTTTGGAGGATAGCGGTAGTACAAAATCATCAAAAGATAAAAGTAATCTTAAAATAATTCCCAAGAAATCTTTGAATTTTTGCCTCATGTTTCTTAGGCGATGCTTTAAAATGTGATTTCAAGGGGTACTTTTCCAAAAATTCCCTGGTGGTATGTAAACCTGCCTGCCCGTCTTGCTTAGATAAATTTTAGTATAAAGTATATTGTAACGTTAAAACTTCTGCAAAAGTCATATTAATATTTAATAATATAAAATAATAAAATGTTTATAAAAGTCAATTAGTCATATTTGATACAGTGTTTTGCAAACAAAGTTATAAAAATATTGAAGGCTCTATGCTCTTACAAAAAAAACACAGAAAAATATTTAACTAACAATAACATGATAATACGTCTTAGAAAGTATTAAAAAATACGGATAAAAATAAAGCGGGACGTTTAGCTCCAAAATAAGGAACAAGCACAGCTCTCATAAAGCAATGAACACCAAGACCAAAAAGATTTTTTGATAAAATTATTTTTAAATACAACCCATTAAAAACGGTGCTAATAAATGTGTTTTTTAACACACTAGACATCCTTACAGACAGTTAAAAAGGAGTTCCAAATTAATAGTACATTATACGCGCTATAAGGTTGTGAAGAAACTCATTATTGACTGATCGTTGTTTATTACCCGAAACACAAAGAGTCAAGAATTATAATTTTAATAGGGTCGGTAATTGTGTTCACAACCGTAGATTTTTTTACTAGTAGTACACTAGCTATATAAAATTTATTTAAAATTATTATTCATAGTTAGTAATAATTCGAATCGCTTTATTTTCTTATGTAAAAAAACAAATCCACAAATAATACGTTAACTACAAATTTATTTGAAACCTCAACAGATTCAACAATCAACACTGCTTTTTATTTAAATTTGCACCACTTGTGTTGCGTTATTTTTAAATAAATAAAATGAGTTATTTAACGTTTAAATTTGTCAGATGTTATTTTCATTATATATTTGGTTTATAAAAATCGAGATAAAAATATACTTCTCAACCTACTCAAAGGGTCGATAACTACATATGTTTCAAAGCTACTAACAAAAAGAAAAGTTTTTTTGAGTTTTATATCTTATTGCTTTATGACGAAGTGTTTTTCCAGCAAAGTCAGATTTATACGCCAAATATTCGGAATTTTGATACTTTTTTTTGTTTTTTTTAATTTATAACTGCGTGTTATATCATTTTAATTATTCCAGCTTTAATAGCTTTAGCAGGAAGATTCTGGCCTTAGAAAAATTTTTGTCTATTAATGATTGCAGTCAAGAACAAAATTGTTAAAACATAAAAAATGTTTCTTTAATGCAGCATTTTTTATAAATTACATATTTTGTAGTTTTAAAGATTTCATATATTTTGTAAAAAATGATTAATTTTTGTTTATCTAATCTCTGTTTGTTAATCGGCAATCTTTAAAGTAGTAAATTCCAAAAATTTTATTTTTAAGTATTTTTAGTGTCCGACCGAAGGTGAATTGGCCGAAACCGAATCCAAAGGCCGAAAGTGAATGGAAGAAAAACTGAGCTTATTAATAATTGCAGAGAACTAGTTTTTCCGACCAACTTAGAAATTGGGTGTGGAGAAAATTTTGTTCTAAATGTTTTTATTGAGATACCAAACACAATGCATCGATAATAATCAATCCTCAGTACTCAAGTTTCGGCTTCGGCCTTCGGCCACTTTTTGGGGCGAAGCCGAATTTCCGCCGAAGCCGAACATTCGGTCAGACACTAATATTTATCTAATTTATTGCGACCTGGTTTGATTTTAGAACACGGGCCTGTGGCCGCATTGTTACGCCACTGCATTCTCAAGTAGTTTTTCACTCGAGTTAACCCATCACATCACTAATAGCGGAAAATCCGATTTGCAGGACTTTGTCGTTTTACTGTCGAAGATATTGACCCCTATTGCCCTATGCAATTATGCATATGGCCGTTTGCACCAACAAATTTAAGATGAGCTTAGCTTAAGCGTAGCTTAAAATCCATGACAACGATTATTGAGACAATGGTTGCCATGGATTTTAAGCCACGCTTAAGCTAAGCACAGCTTAAATTTGTCGGTGCAAACCGCAACAAGTATCACTTTTAAATAGGTTCTCTTTATGGGCTTATACTGACCTTATGCGAATTAAATAAGCATATCGACCGTCTTATATCGAACCAGTGATTACTTAGCTTTAAAACAGAGTAATAAGCGTTTAATAAAATCCATTAATTATGTTATAATTAAAAATTAAAAAAATGTCCACCATATTTACACTTTGCGGTTGGTAGTAACGAATAATCATAACCTTATTCATTGTGTTTACATTTTCCCATTTGCTAGATTTTCGTTCTTGCCTTTAAAGTTAGAAAACTACTTACTATTATTAAAACAAATCCAAAAAAAAAACACACTTTAAATGCAAGTAAACGAAAAATCTAGTAATGGGAAAATGTAAACACAATGAATAAGGTTATGATTATACGGTACTACCAACCGTAAAGTGTAAATATTGTAGACATTTTTTTAATTTTCAGTTCTAACACAATTAATGGATTTTATTTAACGCTTATTGCTCTGTTCTGTTGTAAAGCTAAGTAATGAGTATTTCGTTTCGATATCAGAGGGTCGATATGCTTATTTATTTCGCATAAGGTCAGTATAATATGCCCATAAAGAGGACTTATTTAAAAGTGATACTTAATGCATAGGGCGATAGGGGTCAATAACTTCGACTCTAAAAACAGCCGTCCTGCAATTCGAATTTCGCGATCGACGTAACCACTAATAGCATCACTATTGCGACATGTCTAATTATTTATTCCGTTATGCACACGATTTACGCTATTTGCGTAAAATGCATTTAACCTATGACGCCATTTTATGGAAACGCAAAAAGCAGTTTATTGCACCATGTAATGCAAGTACTGCGTTATTAACATTATGCTTATGGCTTATCCGTAATTGCTGTTACTAGATAAATACAAATTGTAATAAAAAAACAACTTACCTGAAATTGAAGAATCAAAATACTTAGTATGTAAATTTGAAATTGCAGCACACTCTACTATAATAATTATGCACAAATTAAACGTGAAGCTGTCAGCTGATCTTTTCAAACAACGAAAGGAGAGCCAAGGCCAAGCGACGCGAATGCGAAACGAAACTTCTCCTTCTTCGCCACACACGTGCTGCGTGCACGACGGGTCCTTGTCGGGTCGATTCGCCGATCTATAGTTTACCCGTCTAACGATGTTTGTTCAATGTTGCCTATATATTAGCAAATTAAGTTTGGCATAATGTAGGCAAACATTGAGAATGCAGTACTGCTCCAATATTTTTAATTACAATATTGGCAATGTTCCCAAATTTCTGTATTAGGAAAATATTGTTAATAAACCTAATTAATACCAATACTAATACGATCTAAATTCAATATTGTTTATATATTAACGAATATTGATTTGGCAAACGTTGATAATGAATACTGTTCCAATATTTCTAATTACAATAATGGCATCATCGCCAAATTTCCACATTAGAAAAAGATTGGTAATAAATCTAAATAACTTGATATAGATTCAATATTGTCTATATATTAGCGAATAATGATTTGGCTAATGTAGGAAAACCTTGAGAATACAATATTGTTCTAATGTTTCTAGTGACAATATTGTCATCATGGCGAATTTTGTACGTCAGGAGAATATTTATAATAAGTCAGTGTTTTTATACTGATAGTACAATATTACATTAATATTTAATTTTCTATATAGTATTCTCATTATTATGTAAATATTATTACAATATCCGACTCGAGGACTTAGTTAGATGGTTGGTTAATATTATTGCACTAAGATTGGGTCAATATTGGTTTATATTAAACAATATATAAACATTGGGCCATTATTGCGCCAAGTTGTGGCCAAGATTGTGTTCTGCCTGGGGAGATGTACATTCTCATGCAAATTTTAACTCTACTAAATAAAATAAGTGGGATAAATTATTAAACTTAAAAACTAAATACATTAAACAATATTGTCCACAATAAGTTGATAAAGGATGCTGCAGCACTCGCGAATTAAAGGTGAATTTCCGGGCGTGTTTTTTCAAAAATTTTAAATGTAATGTGTAGGTGGTATCCGAATGAATCGAAATATTCTCCATTTCCATCTTCATCTATGTAAATTCCGTTCCAGTAACACCAACCAAATGCAGCAAATGGCCGACGTACACTTGCTCGTATAAGTTCATCTGATGCGAATGCACGCAACCTTCTTCTGAATCAATTCAACGCTCGTTGAAGTTCTAGGGTATTCATTGTTGGTCTTTTTGCCCAACGTGAATATTGCGTTTTTCTTGAGCGCACATAACTGTGTTCTCCGCATGATTGAGGCACCTTACACCGTATATGACTTTTCTTTAACTTCTTTACGAAAACCCACGTCTTCTTTAATTACAAACTTGTCCGAAATTCATGTATTGCTTCTCCAGTTTTACATATTCTATTTGAAGTTACGTTTCTTCTTCAACCTCTATCTAATGTGATTCCATTTCAAGCCATGATAACAGTCTTCTAAGAATTTATTTCTTTTTTCATCGTGAGGTTACAGTTAATTGGCGGGCGGCTTCATAAGTAAAGTTGTGCAACTGGGCTTCCGACGAAACGATAGATATTTCTTCGGAATGAATTCCTTTCTTCCGCGGAATTTAAAATCAACGTTATCCATCACAGAAACATTTTCTAATAACTGAATCCGTAATGAATCTGAAGCATCTGAAAAAGTTATTGCATGTTTCCCGTGATTATGTAACTGAATGCACCCAAAAATCTTTTCCCTTTAAAGCACTGCGATGACATTTCGATGTTTATCAATTTCAATAACGTTGTCAAATTCTGCGTACACGAGACAATTCACCATCTCAGTCAGCGCGTCTTGGAAACCAACTTCGATACGAAGAGAACCGTTCTTTACCAAGTTCCAATGAGTTGTGGCGTTTGCGGATAAATCCGGCGTTAAATCGAAAAGTCATTAGGCAAGTATCCGTGCGGATAGTCTAAACGTGATACGTTATTTCCTTCGTTCAAAAAATGTATGTCCAGTTCCAGAAAATAAAGTGTGGTAGGCCCTTACGTATAATCCTTCTTGAGTGAAATCCTGGTTGTAACGGTTTTGATGGAATTTGCTGCCCATCAATGTACAGAGACATATAATTAATCTTGTAATGAGATGAAAGTTGAAGGGATTGGATAGCGTTGAGATATTTTAAATTGCACAAAAACCAATTATCGACTTGGTAGGTGACAAATCATTTGCGTTGCACACCTGCCAGCACCTTCACATCCGATCACAGTGGTTTACCTGCTTTTGTGTGCGCAAGAAGACTACAGGCGTAAACTTTATCCACAATTTCAATTTGAACCAGCAGCAGCCATTAAACTAAAGGTGTCTCTTGTTGAACAAACTTATTTCATTTCTTAACATTATGAGAAACTTTTTGATTAAACAGTCAGCGTGCACATGACCAACCACACCACCATTTACCGAGCTTTTGGTATTTTGACGAATATATTACCTTGTTATCAGCTGTTTTGTATCCATTTGCTTTGAGCCGGTTATGCCATAATTACACCCCAGATGAGTTGTTTTAGCTTCAAGTTCAATTTAACAGAGTTTTCGCTATGCACGATCGCATAGTATTTATGGTGGTGACACTAATTTCTGATTCAAGCGCTGTCCACTTGAAATAAATTATGGTTTAATTGTTAACAGGAGCTCCACATCGTAGCACCCAAAGCGTGTATCTTGTTTTGAATTTCGCCAAACGTGAGCATTGTGTGACTTAGATCGAGGTAATCATTTCATTTCCGGGGACTACGAATCATCTGTGCGTCATCTGATAATTTCCTAAAGGTTTGTAAAACACCCATTGAAGCCTTCGATACTGGTTGTGTTGCAGGAAGTGAAACAGATCCAACTGCCGAGGACTGGTCAATGACTGTGCAACGAGGTGCCAACTTTGAGAAAATTCACTAATGGAATTTGACAACTTTGCGTTATAGCTTTTTCGGAGTGTTAACTCTTCCCGTAGCAATTTTGAATGGATTAATCGATCATGTGTGGTCGGTATACCAGATCCATACATTAATGTATCAATTTTGTCATCGGTTTTATTTAAGGTTTCTTCCTGCGACTGAATCGTTCGACCACGCTGCTTTCGGAATTTCTCCTCAATTAGTCACCTAGTGGTTTGCACCAGTTTTAAAGTTCTTTTCCCACAGCTCGCATAGTTGCAGGAACAAAGGTAATATGGAACGAAACACTCCTCCAGCCAGCTTCCTATTCCATACCTTTTGGTACGGCGAACCTCTGGCATCGTACCTGCGCCGAGCCCGCTTATTTACGTACTATTGCCCTATGGGTAGTCCATTCTTAAAATTTTAAAAGAACTAATGTTCCAAACTCGAATGGCATTACTGCGCCTTATCCTTCCTTATAAGTCAATTCATTTACTGAACCGGCAAAATTAGTGGGTTTGTTATTAATCGTGCAGGATCAAAACTAGGACCTTTTTTCATACCGTTCATCGAATCAAAATCGGGTTTTAGTATTGAACGTTTTTATACATAACGTTCCGAGATTATAGAAAAATATTCTAAAACTTTATTTAAATAAAATCTGTATTGGCGATCTTGTAGTAATTAAATTGTCAGTTTATAATCGAACGCAAACGACAAGGATATTTATTTCGGCTCGTACGAACGCGATTTAATATGTACACAATTGTACATAATTTACTCGACGTTTTTTCCTCTCTTGCCCAAAATTCGCATAATTTTTAAATACTAGTCTACAATCAAGACTTGTCGTGAATAATTTTAAACACCTCTTGACTAAAGTTACTCTCATATCCCTTTTCAAAATGATATTTGGTTCTGGTGATTCTCACGTGTTGAGGTCGAGTTTCTTTACCAAAACTCGAACAAATGCCAAGGAAAAAAATGAATAATTTCAAGTAAAGTTTTCATTCATAAGTAAATACACGGCAAGGATTACCAATACAAATTCCCTCGTCAAAATTCAGGCAATGAAAATCTGTCATGTTTCCTAAACTAACCAAAGAGCAGCAAATTACAGCGATAATTACGCTTACCGCTATCAATTTTGACATTCCAATTTCACATAAAATAAGAAACATTATTAGAATGCAAAATTAACAAATTGAGGTGTAACGTTTGAGTAAAATTTTTATTCGGCGACGTGATCTTACTACTGGTAATTTATAGTCGGTTTGAAGGTATTATCGCGTTTTGTGATTAATGTTTGGTCAGTGTTTATTTTTCTGCTTGGATATTTTTGTTTTTTTTTCTTTTACGTCCTTTTGACAAGTTATTCAACAAGCTTACTTCAAAAGTACGTTGAAAATATGCAAAAATACATTCGTCAATTACTTCCTAAATGTAATTAATTATGTTTTACGTACCCAAAGTCTATTAAAGGGCGGAACTTTTTTTAATGGAAGTTTCAAGCTTATGATACGGTGGAAATTTTAAAAGGGTGTTGATAACGACCGAATGCTTTCGCTTCGAAAGATATTACCATATTTCTTTCCCGTTCCTTATTCCACTTGAAGATTGTGGGTTGATCAGAAGTTAATTAAGATAATTATTTCGAAAATTCGAACGTTAATTAAAAAAATCGAAGCCTATATCGTTAAAAGTTACACGTGCGTTAGAATATCATTAAATCTGGCCATCATTACAGCTTTGTTCCCTCCTTCACTTTCTGAAAACTGTTGTTGATCTGCCTAAAAGACTATTAACCTGAAACGTTGCGAGTGATAGTTTAATTTCTTCTGTTGTGTAAACAAGGCTCAATTAAAACTTAATCGTCTCTGGTTACTGCGGTTCATTTGCCAATTACGTCTTGTGTAGACAAGCTTTCCTAATTAATTACTGCCTTGACATTACGTAACGTGTATGATGTGAAAATTATATCGAATATCCCAGACTTAGAATTTAGTATTCCGCCCGGGTCGTATCCCTCATTTTTTTCGTTTTCTCTTCCTTTTTGCGGCATTATCCGTATTTTACAGTTCATTACACATATTTCGTATTCCATTTCCAGTCGAATTTGCTTATTTCATTTTATCTTTCATATTAAAAACATGAATTTCTGATGCGCGTGAATTTTATATATATAGCCGGAGAGAAATTCTCTTCTGGCTGCAAACAACATTAATAATTGTCACGGTATGAATTACGGAGCAAATTTCTTAGTACGGACTTTTCTTTGCTTCCATGATTAATGTTGAAATGAATTTATGCATAAATGGATTTGCAAAAATATGTAGATATCATTGTTTTATTGTAGGTATGTACATTAGAGTTTTCATTTTAGAACAAAATAGGTACACGTGTCTACACGTTACGAAGACGTATCCATTGTTAGCGCAATTCCACAAAAATTTAAAAAATGCGCTATTGTGGCCACTTTGCCCATCCGCCCGACCGATCGCTACTAGTTTTTTATGTTAAGAGCTATTGTTCTACTTTTTTCGGTATGTGGTTCGTTATGGTGTCGAGGCTTGCACCAAAGGAAAGAAGTTCAACATGTTGACCTAGTCGTCCAACTGTTGCTCTACCACTCAACCTACACAGCTAACACAAAATAATGGGTCAACACAAAATAAGTACCCCGTTGCCGGCAATGTGTGTGCAGGGAAAGCACTTCAATTTGCTAACCTGCATCTATATGCCGCGCCGGCCGTTATGTCGCCGCTATTCATATGCAAGCATCTTTTAAATGCTGAGAAAGTGCTGCTAATGTGCTACTTTTATATGCTATATAGGTGCAGTGGCAATGCACTTAAGGTGTCGCAAATATTGCCTCCTATGGATGAAATTTGTAATTAATTGCACACAGGGCCAGTACCAATGAAATACACTTAATATGTACCTACCTACTATTTTTTTTATTGAAATTTAAAATTTTTTAATACTTGCTAAATGTCAAAATATCTTAGGCTTTACAAGATAAAATATAAACTACTACGATTCTAATACACATACATCTGAAAATAGGTTTCAAAATAAAATGAACTGTTACTAATTTTTTTTTCTATTTTCCCTCCCGCCTTCACGATCAGATGCATTGCGTAAATATACTTTGATGATATCTCCCACTTCACGTTGGGTAGCATTTTTGGATATTTGAGGTATTTCTAGGCGTTTGAAGTAATGTTCGAGCATCCATTGGTAGATCAGTTAATGGATTTACCTTAACCCATTTCAATAACTCGCTCGCAATGTGAGAAATTTTATAACGTTTAGCCCATCTCTGTAAAAATATTATACATTTGTTGCTTTCTATTAATTTAATGTTATCAGATTCCTGAGAAGAATTTTCATCGTTTGTGATTTTAGATTCTGAAGACAATATTGAAGGATAGGTGGCTAAATTTTGGTCAACAAATGGAATTGCTGTTCACGGTCGAGCAGTTTTTCTGTGTGATCGTCTAACAGTGAAGCTAAAGCGCAATTTGTACCAACGTTTTTAGTAGCGACTACATTATCCTTTGTTTCCATCAAATCGTTGGTCTTCTCTTTCGCCTCCAAACTCCCTTCTACGTTAATCAAATTAACAACTTCTAACAAATTCCTTTTTACATTTCTCTGTCTTTGACGGATACTTTTTCGTTTGTAAATATTGAACAACATAGTTGAAACAAAGTTTGGTTGCACTTGATTAAACAATTGTAGAAAAACACCTAAAAGATTTCACAAAAGAGCTCTAGAATAAAATCCTACCAAACAATTACAACAGTAAATTCGCGCTTATTTTTTGCACAGTATGCTGACAACAAATTAGGTTAGGATTACTATTTATGTCAATTGTTATATTTTTCAATTGTTGCTACAACCAAATCTTACCTATAGTTTCCACACACGGACATATTTGCACGATATACTTAACTTAAGGTACAAATAAGTATATTTACTTCACAAAAGCACAAAAAGTAAAAACCATAAGCGTAAATTGTTTATAGACTGTGACGTAAGTACCGTATATAAGTGTACCAACCACCAAGTACCAACATACTTTCAATTTTTAGTGTGTAGGGATACCAACCGCGACATAATTAACTCTTACTCCTCCAACTTCAGCGTTGGAAAAGTGGCAGCAATGCACACTACAACCTGTAGTAATACAACTGCTAAATGCAAGCGCTGTGTTACCATTCTACCAGCACTTCCGATATATGCTGCTTTAATGATTTCCCAGGTGTATTGGCCGATTGTCCCATGTACAATACATTTAAGATTATGTCGCGTATACAGTGCATTAACAGTATTAAATAAGTACTGTTATTAAGCGCTGTATAAAACTAAGTCGGCCGAAAGTTCCCCGGCAACCGCTGGTTAGCTGGGTAAGTGTATCATTCGCACGCTTTACACATACATGTAAGAAAAATTTTTTTTTACAAATGTAACATGTTTGCTCACTTAACAACCTACACTTCATTTTTTTTTAAAAGACTGTATAGAAGGACAATTTTTTAATATATTAAAATATCTGTTGTAACGGGTAATACACTGACAAATGCCCGTTCGAAAAAGTAACTATTGTGGGAGGGACATCTAGAGGCGTTTTCGGAAATTCAACCGGGTTAGGTAGGTTCTTAGCGAGTTGTAACCCAAGCGTTCGATTATTCACACCGGTTATTTTGTCTGCGTTCGAAAACTAGATCAGGTTGGCAACTCGGTTGTTTAGTAATAACTCTGGTCAGTGAGTAGGGTACGTCTGTATTGTAGGTTATGTTTTGATTGAAGTGTTTACCTTTTTGTTTGACAAAATCGTCAATAGAAGACTTTTAGTTTTATTATTTGCTACAATCAAAAATGAATAGGGTGCTCGCACGATGTGAAATCTGCGACTTTTTATCATATGAAAATATTGTTAATGAACATATTCGAACAACTCATGCCCCTGATTTGGAATCCCGTGAAAGTACAGAGGTTGAAAATTGGCAGCAAGAGGATATAACCCTCAACAATGAAGATTATTATGAGGATCATGATTATGGCGTATCTCAGGAGCAGGAAACACCAATAGTGACTCAACGTAGCCAAGCAAGTGCATCCGAGCCTCAAAATCATCATTGGCAAGATAATGAAATAAAGCTATTGATATCACTGTATGAGGAACATAAAACAAGATTTGAAGACAAGTCTACAACAAACAGGAAAGTTTGGCAACAAATTGCCGAACTGATGAATGCAAATGGTTACATGGTCACATGGGAGCAGTGCGAAAATAAATTCAAAAATTTAAAAAAACAGTACAAAAAGGTGATTGACCACAATGCTGCCACAGGTAGAAATAGATTACAATTTAAATATTTTGACATTATGGATAATTTACTGCATCAAAATCCTGAGATAAATCCACCAGCAGAATGCAGCAGCCTGAATGTGGTAGGTTTTAATGTTTTATACTTTTCATTTAAATTTGTTCCTCGAGTTTAGCATTTCCATCAATATTTTGAATCTTTCATGTACTTTTGTTATAGGAACCAGAATGTCCAAATAGTCCCATCAATGATAGTGGGAGGAGCACCCCATCATGCAGTACACAGCTTCGACCAAATAATAAACGTAAGAACAAGGAAAATGAGCCAGTTTGGTTTAAAAAATTTCGCGAAGATATGGATAAACGCCACCAAGAGAAAATGAAAATGCAAGAACGCTTGATTAATGTAATCGAAAAGCATTTAAATACATAATTAAAGCAACATGTACATTGTAAAATAAATACTAATCTTACAAAATTTTGTTAATTTATAATTTCTGCGATATCATCACGTTTAATGCGTCCTTTAGTGTCTAAGTTTCTATCATTAATACCTACAGCAACATTAGCATCTGCATCTTCTTGATACGGCTCTACATCTAAATCATTTGCATCAACACAAATATTATGTAAAACACAACAACTTATAATAACGCTGGGAATTACTTTGGTGTCATATATATTTACGTATCTCAAAATGCGGAATCTACCTTTTAACAGCCCATATGCTTGCTCAATAGCTACTCTTGTAGCAGAGTGCTTGTAATTATAATTTTTCTGTTTTCGACTCAAATGTCCATTGTCTTTGTAAGGCGTAAGTAGGTGACTTGCATTTGAATACGCTGAATCACCTAACAAGTGATAATCTGAGGGCACGAGATCATGAATATTGTGGTTCAATTTTTTTCCTAAGGGAGACATTTTTAATACCCTGGCATCATGGACACTTCCAGGGGGACCTAATGAGTTCATAAATGATAGTATCCTTTTTAATTAATAACTTTACCGGCATAACAATCGATAAATTTATATCTAGCATTACAAACTCCTTGTAAGACAATTGAATAATATTTGTTTCTGTTGATGTAAGAGTTTGCCATATTGTGTGGGGCCACTATTGGTATGTGCGTTCCATCAATCGTACCTATAACATTTGGAAATCCTTGTCTTTTACGAAATGCAGTGGAGAAGCACTGTCTCTGTGATTCATTTTTAGGCCACTGAATTACATCTGACGCAATTGAAACTAAAGTATCTACAACTTTTCTAAAGTAACACCATGCTGTTGAAATGGTCAGATCAAATCTATCGGCGACGGTTCTGTAAGACTGGAAATGTTAACCATTTTCAGAGTAATTATACAATTCATTTTACCTGTACGACTCTTGATTTGCGAGAATCCATAGACCTACTAATAACTGTGTTTTCGCATCATTTCCAGGTCTCCCAGTGTGGTGTACGGAACTAGCCATTGACAACTTATCACCAATTTTAATTAGCACTTCCTCAAAGCTCATTTTCGTCAATCGGAAATGTTTACGGAAATCTACAATACCTATGACTTTTAACTGGTACCTACGCAATTTAATATTTTTAATTACCATCTAAACTGTAGCTTTCTACAATGGCAACATAATTCTTAATGCATACACGTTTACTTTCCCCATGTTCTCTCGTAGTTAAAAGTTGTTGACTAACAATCACATTGTCATCATCGTCGTCGGAATCTACTACAGATGTCCAAAACGCAAGGAGTGCTGCTGTAGCGCGTTTTCTACTTGTGCCAAGAATAGTAGAATGGATTATACTATCCTTGTTAGACATGTTTATGTAGGTTATGTCACGGTTAGGAATATTAGGTTATGTAAAAACGTTCGGAAAACATATAACTCGAGTTGCGAACCTGTGTAGGTTACCTACCAACTGGGTTATTTACTCGGGCATAATTTCCGAAAACGCCTTAGATATCCCCTATAATGTAGATTTAAACGTCAGTTCTAATAAAAAATTACATGTTGCCTAATTTAGCCATTCTATAATTTATTAATATTTTAAAAACTGTCATTTTAGCACATTCCATGTGTGCGCAGGCGTTCGAGAGAGCAGTGCGAACGATCAAATTTCAAATTAAGATATTGATTTGTCAGGTTACTCCATTTAGTCGAAGCAAGTTGAGCCAATTCGATCCAAATACCAACAAATAAATCCTACTAAAATATACCTACTCTAAATAAATACTTAAAATGTAATTAATTTTTCTAGAAGTGTTAAAGTTACCATTTTTGTAGAAAATTACTCTCTTTCAATCCAATACACATCACATTCGTTTAATTGGCTTCCACATGAGGAAACTTTTAAGTTGACTCTGACCTCATCACCTTGATAAGCACGTTTAAACGTTGAGTAAATTGTCTGGACTTTGATCGGCAACAAACTTGTACTTTACACTAACCTTTGGACTTTGAATGGCGAGAAATGGACTTTGAGACCGTTCGGTAACCTTTAGACTTTACACGAATCCTTGGACTTTGACCGGAAACCAACTTTTAGACATTGAACAGCTGCGAATGGACTTTGAATGACTTAGAACAGGTGTGTAATGGACTTTCGCCGGTCAGCAACCTTTGGACTTTGTCCGATCGGCAACCTTTGGACTTTGAACAGCGGGTGGACTTTGTTCGATAGCTTGACCTACTTTTACAACGAACTTTGACCGGTCAGCAACTTTTGGGTTTTGAATAGCGGAGAATGGACTTTGAACAGTGTGGACTTCCATCGATAGCTTCACCTACCTTGATCTGACCTTGAAATGTGCGCATGCACGCACAACCAAGACCTGCCAGTCTTCTTCCAGATCATGGCGAGTGTACACGCGAAGTGATATGTCTCTTGTGCAATGACGTTTTTGTGTAAGAGGCTGTCTGGACGGATTATCGCATAGATCACTGTGGAGCAAATTAAGATAAGTAAAATGGCGAGTAAAATTCCCGGGCCAATTGACAAAATAACCCCCCAGGGGGCCAACCTCCGAAATACCGCGGGGTCACACCCCTGGCCAACTGCCGAAATACTCCAGGACCAACTACCGAAATACCCCAATTGCCCAAATTTGACCTTGCACCCCAGGCCAATTGCCAAAATTTGACCTTGCACTCTAGACCAATTGCCAAAATTTGCCCTTGCACCCCGCGCCAATTATCAAATATCTTTTATCTTGTAGCTTTAGTAGCTGTATACATAAATAACACTCCCAGACTGATTTTTGGGTTATATAGTATGAATAGCCCCCCCCCCCCTTTAGCATCCTAAAATTTTTGTGGCATATTCAATAAGCAATTTTAAACATTCACTGTCAATTTCCAAACTATTTGAACGGTTTTTTACAACTGGACTGTGGAAAACCGACCAGAAATTACGCGGGACGGGTTTCAACATCGACGAGGAGTAGATTGGGTCACTCTTATTAGCGGGATAGTTTTTCTCCCATGTTAATGGTCATTGGGCATTCCGGCAAATCAATAACGGCAGACTCAAAAACATGATGCGTATCCTTTGCCGTACATCATTGGGAGTTTACATTACACGTGATTATGACAGAGAGAAGAGATCAATATAACACTTTATTGGAATATAACAGCCGCTGTACAATTGTGAAAATTTCGAGGTACATCTACTGTTTCGACTTCAAAAAGATATAGAAATAGAAACTTTATAATAACTTACACAGAAGTTACGCGTCTTTGTAGTTAATTTATATTTGTATTACGCTTCGATAACACAATACGTACTTACTCATCTAATATAAGCAGCAATATGCAAAATAGCTCTTGTACCACCGTGTTTTACTCTTCATTAAGAAGTATATTTGGTATCTAGGGGGAAATTGGAGATATTTGACTAAACATTTGGTACTAATTCTTAAATTCTATTCTTAAATTGAGGAACGTCTCAATTTCTTTGTTATAAGCAGTACAAAAAGAACTATTTTGTACATTTTCGTGCACAATCAAAACGCTTGTTTACTACTGAACGTGTGACGCCTAACGATTTTTATGGTTCCTGCTTAATGCTACAAAATTTAATGCCCTTAACCTTACGTTTATTTTCCCCCGATGTTGATCACATCATTTGTTGGTAACATACAGAGACATACATATATTTCCGTTTGAAGTAATCCCAAAATCCTAGCACTAAATCCCGCACTCGATTTAGCGGAAAGACAATAGTGGTTATTTTGCTTTAACTTTAGCGTAGTTTCCGCAAGCATAAATAAAAGTAAACTTGCATTTTGCTCAGAATGTTCCCTCGCTGTCGTATAAGAAATTTATTTTTCAGCAACTTGCTTTTATGTGTGTATGCATGTGTGTTTCGGTAGGTTTCATTTTATGCAGATTTGCATTGTCCCCGTTTATAAAGACGATTGTGCTGAAACTTGAATTGAATGTTGCTCATTCCGAACTCCGAAACTTGATCGGATTAACTATTACGCTGCTCTCGGACTAGGTTTAATTCTATTGCCATTGTACGCTTAGAATGAACTTTAGAACTTCAACCGAAAAAAAAACAGCTACCTACATTGGAAATTCTTGCGACGTTACAAATTAGACTTTCCAACTAATTTAAATGCAAAGCCATTTTTTTTGCAGGAAAATCGTAGGTGCTGTAAATTTCGAGGTACATAAACATGGAAATCGTTGCAGCAGATTTAAAGTGGATTTCAACATGAATCACGAATCTGAAAACACTTGAACCGCCTTTTACGGTTGTGAGATTCTCACGACGATTTCTTATTTTCCCCCTCTTACGAGCGTCTCCTGCCTTACAAATCCCTCTTTGTCCACTGTTTTAGCTAAAAGCTAAGAGGGTGACACCCTCTGGCTGCTCCTGTTGGTCACAAGGAGCATTCGTTCGCACGCGGGTGCCGGATTTTCTATCTGCGTCAACTTCTTCAATTTTCATTTCACTAATATCTTTTAAGGATTGATGAGGATCACCGCGGAAAATCAAACTTTGATTGATTGCGCTATTGCAAGAAAGTTCGTCGATTCTTTCAACTCGGAAAAACTCAATACAAAAGCTATTAAACTGCACCAACAGCCTGGAACGTGTTATATTGCTGTGATGACACTCATAATTTTAGTTTGCGTAATTTTTGTGTGATTATGAGAAAAACTGGTTACGCTACGGCGTTTTTTTTTGTATAAAATTTTATTTATTAATAGTTAATGGGTTTGGATAAGACAATACTTAATGACAGTTCACAATTCACAAAATTCAGGGAATGTGTACTGTCACCAACGTATTTGCTTTGTTGCTAATTCGAGTCCCACTTATGGGTGTCAAAATGTAACAGCATTTGGAATGATAAATTCGACTGGGGGTCTTTAATTTCTTGTGTGGAGTTGCTCCGGCTTGAATATAATTGTTTTATTCATTTTTTATCTTTATTTTTAAGTGGGCGGGGTTTCATTCAAAGCGGTGCTATCAACCCAACCCAATACATTTACAAAAATTCATGCCCTAACCCGAATTCGAACCAGGGACCCTTTGTACCGCAGTCGAGATTACACGCAACTGCGTCACACAGGCCGGCTTCCTTAATAATTTCTTTTATTGTTGGTCTCTTCGGCACTACACCGACGACTACGGACCGGTGGCTAAACGTCCACCAAGTCCCTTTTTACAAGCCAGATTCTTCCAATTTCCTTAACAGTCATAGCAAAACAACTCTTGTTGCGGTTTATCAGCTTCAATAATTCACGCGACGGTGGCTATAATTTCGGATTGGACTTATGATATTGTAAACTGGAATCAACTGCTCTTCCGGCCACTGTCATTTGCTACGCGCACTACATTTAGTATCTTACGATCCACATTTATTGCTTGTCCTTGCCCGAACCACCTTCAAATAAGGACTTGCCTTGCGCGTGATTGTCTCGGTCTTTAGACACTTGGCTGCGATACGGCTCTTACTCTTACACTTGAAACATTGCAATGTTTCCTGCGGTTCACTACAGTGTTTGTTGACAAGTCCATATTTTCGGCAATTGAAACAAAGTGGTCGGTCACTACCGTCCCGCGGCGGCAATCCGCTTATTACAGCGGATGGCGTCTTGGTTTCTGTTTCTATGTTGGTCGTTGATGGTCCTTCGTCCTTTTCCGTTAACGCTCGAAGGTTATTCATGGGAGTTCTTGTCACCCGCTCGTTGAACTGCTCGCTCCTAGTGCGATCCTGAACCTTATATCATCTGGAAACTGATATCTACGATTACGTGTGTCATTATGAGGAATTTGTTCGTGTTAGTTTATTTACATTTTGTTGTATAGAAATTTAATTATTTGTTCTTCGTAAAGTGGTTTTCTTGAAGTTCACGTCACCTTTATGCTTTTATACATTCGCTTTGTACGGACGATTTGTTGTCGATCAAAATTTTGCTTTTCCTAGTTTTAAAGTCATTCGAATTATTGATTCTTATTAAGTGTTAATTGTACGAAAGGGATGGTACACATTGCTACCGCTATATTTATATGCCGCGCTATTCACTATCCCTCTTGTTTGTCTGTTTGTGTGGTTATCTGTTACAGATTTAGCAGAAAAGCGCTCCTCCGAGCTCAAAAAGGTCGTTACGACCTGAGTTATAAAGATAACTTTTATCTTCGACGACTCCTTGATATAACGTGTGATTACATATTGGTTTCCGATACAATCAAATTGTAATTACTACATTTGTTTGAACTGAGTGCAGCGTAAGTGAAAATTGACCTTAATAGGTTAATAGGTTAAACTCGAAAAATGGCACTTTTATATTTAGAACTTTCAAATGACATATTAACAAATGTGAACGAGGGTATATTTGTGTCATATTTGTAAGCAGAAAAATAGAAAATGGGTCAAACTATCGAATATTCTCCTTTTTTCGCAATCGCGGTGTGTAAAATGATCATTCCAAACACACCATTAAACTGTAAGGGGACAATTGTCGCGCATGCCGTTGAAAGAGTCAATTGCCCGGAAATGAGGTCAAAATTATGGATTCGCACCTAACTGAAATATTTATGAAAAATTCTTTGCGGTACGTACCTAAACTTTCAATAGTAGAAATTCCGAATAAAATACTTCTTTGATCTTATCCTACTTTCCAATACTGGCATAAAATAATAAACGTCTCGGATGTAACATTGTAACGGTTGTTTACGGTTATAGGTTACAGTTTCTCTATTTGATCAGAATTGTGTAATATACAGAAAAAGCTCGAAATTGTCATTGCTTACTGGCAATTTATTTTCTCGGAAGAAAAAATGATATTCGTCTCTTTGTTTTCAGAACACGAACCTAACGAACGTATTCGCGACACACAGACCACGGGAGGCGATCAAGTACAAACCAAGCACAAAACTGAAGCACAAATTTAATCCAACATTAGACGTAAGTATATCGCCCCAATATATTTTTATAACGTTTTACACTTTAACGTTGAAAAAAGACCCTTTTATTGTCCTGTATTTGTATTACTTACTGCTTTTTGTACACCAACAGTCACTTTTATAGCTTTAACTGACTTCGACCAACACCACTAATCGCTTAAAGCGAGGGTTTAGTAAGTAATATTGTCGAAGGAGCGGTCGCTCGTTAATTTTCTCTCGCCTCTTTACTGGGATGTAGTCGCCGCGTTTATTTGAACGGAAAAACCGAAAGAAGACGGGTATCCCTAAAAAACCTCGTCTTTTAATATTTGCTTTTTATCCAAAAGATTCTCCTTTAGCTCAACAAGAAAGATTACAATTCCGCAGAGATTTAAAGGCAGCGTCGTATAGTATTATTTTATAATTTCGCCAAGTTTTTTGGCGTGTTATGGTTTTTGAGGTTGCCGTTTCTATTATTGTAAAAGAATTTTAATGAAATATTGACAGATGCTGGTTGTAAAAGTCGGAAAACCGAAACGAAGGGTATAAGAGAGAATTTGTGCATTTAACGGCTTCGTCATCTTTCCATTATGAAAATTGAATCGCGAACATAGCTGTGATTCGAATCTTTCGAAGGAATTCCATTTTCATTTTAATTAACGCACATCACGTAAACGGAATTCTGCAGAGGGTTGAAAAAGGAAAACGTATTAAGTTGATATTTCGATGTAGTTTGTTGGAATCACAATAAGTTTCAATTACAACATCATTTTATTTTGTTTGTATTTATTCTAGATAGGCCAGGTTTCACCCAAGCATTGCTAATTTTTAATGATTATTTTTTCAGTTACTGCAGTGTTCGATAACGATGTGAAATATTTGTACAAAGAAAAAATAAAATGATTTGGTAGGGTTGTGCTTCTAGATTGATTGAATCCTAAATCCAATGAAAATGCGTCTTGTAGCGATTTTAGCCTTTACTCACTACTCGTTGACTGTAGAAGTATACACATCGCATCGTAATTTTTGATAAATCTATAAAACAAATACGTAAAATATGAAACAGTGTTCAAAGCTCTAGGTACATTTTACGTACGGATGATATTCCTGAATTACACATTTAAAATGTGAAACAATAGTTATTGACATAAATAACGAGTAACGTAAACTGTTTTAACATACATGTAATGTAACACATTTTATTTTACACTGCTATTTTTTCTCTTATAATTGCAGAAGAGGTTTGTATTTTACCGAGTAAATTTCGGTTCTTTAATGAAAATCTGTTGCCTAGCAATTAGACGAGAAAAACTGTCAACTAATAAAAATTCAACACGGAAGCTGGAGCATTTTTACCTTGACAGTTTTTCGAGTCAAACTGCTGAAGGAAACAGATTTGAATTTCAACAACCCAAATTTACTCGGTTTAAATACAAACCTCCAGTGTAATTCGGTAGGACAATTTAAGAAACAAAAATTCACTAAACCAATCAGTTATTGACAAATGACAAACTATTCATATGGGAACGGATAATACGATAATGGATTGGAAAATGAATAAGTGCAAAAACCCCCAGTTAGACCGAGAGATAACGACAGATTTTGTGCAATGATTAGTAAACGTCTGTCATCGCAATTTTCTCCAAATTTTGACAACACAACAAACAAAAGTTTATTAATAAACGTGTGCTATCAATTTTAAAATAATATTGGGGAGACAAAATAATAGAGCGCTAGCACATTGACAGACGTTTTTCGTTGTAACGGGCAATCAAAAATGAGTTGCTGTCGAGTCACATTTGGAAGTTCAAATTAAGTACGATTTCCTATGTAAACAAAAATTCCAAAGGGGACTCGACAGCAAATCATTTTTGATCGCATAGTGGTATATACAGGCTGTTACATGACCGCATGTAAAAAAAAATGGGTGATAGAGGGGATCAGGACAAACACTTTTTCCAAGTAAACCGAAGGTCCAACGTGTTTGAAACGAAAAAATCAGGTCTAGGAATTCAATATAAATATAAGAAGGAAAGCCGATCTATGGAACCATTACTTCAGGTTCTTAACCTTAGCACTGATAAGAAAGTTCGTGAAATTATTTAACAAAACGAAATACAAAATCATTGTAGTTACGTCTACAGATATATTGTAGCTGAAGAGGTATGTTAAGACCAGATAAAATACCAAATGATGAAATTGATATATGCGGATTATGTTTCTATAACTTCACTTCTCTACTTTAATTGAACTTAAATATCGATTTGGATGACACTGGGTTCGTTGTAATTACAGATGTAAATTGACTCTTTAAAAGTGGAAAAACTCCCTTTAACGAGTACTGGGAAAACCTTAAAGAAAGGCTTCACATAAACGAGCCCTGCTCGATAAACACAGCACTTCGACTAACTTCGTTTCGCTTCCGCTTAACTTTAAACAAGAACTTACAACTGACAAGACTGACTGTCTTGCAATAAATACGATCAAATACGGATTTTAGCTTTAACGTAAGTAAAGAGTTTGTTAATATTGATGGAAAGATGCATATTGTGCCAGATAATTTGACATAGATTATGTGAAAACAAAAAATACATTGGAAAATTGTACGTCAAAATCAAAGAGATGCTATTCCGGGAGCAGCAAAGAAGATAAAAGACAACCCTAAGTTTGACTTCCCTATCACCTCACGTAGACTTACCATGAAGGGGTTGATTTAGTTTTCATGAAATGTTAAGAGTTAAAAAAATTTCCGTTAGTTTACTACATGCATTAGCTACAAATCGTTTATTTTCTCGAAAAAGTGGTTTAAGACAATATTGTAGCACGCACAAAAGCTTTCATTTAAGAAAATGATGAAGACGGACCAATAGAGTTGATTTTATAAAACTCAACATCCGTCACCTTGGATTGGCCGCCATTTCTATTAGCTAGCACTTTGAGATGGCAATCATGGATTTTTTACATCCTAATATGTGTCTAACCGTGGTAAAAAGGAAAATTGGCACCCCCAAATTATACCATTTCCTTAAATTTAGCCAGTTGGCCCATATACTATTTATTTTTCAGCACTCGCAACTTTGTTAAAGTAACTAATTACTGTTTGTACTTCTTCATTTGTTGCCGCTACTTTTTGTTTTTCTTTCAAAACTTTTTTCTGAGTACTTTTAAAAAATTTATGGTACGTCACAGCGTCTGGATCTAATAGGCATAACCCACAGGTTCTAAAGCCATTTTTTAATTTTTCATTCGAAACGTATGGCCTTTTGCAAGGTGTTACAAAAGTTTTCTATGTTCATTCCACCAGTGCTGTTTAGCTTATAATTTATAACTTCTTTTTTCCAGCTTTGCTTCAATGGATGGAAAACGGATATATCCATCGGCTGTAGAATGTGTGTAGCGTTAGAATAAAGTGCGATCATGATAAGTTGATTTTCTGAGCAAAATTCGCTTAACGGCAGTTTTATTGCGTCGTCGTTTTGGCAGTTGTTGTTGTTTTATTATTTTAGTCACTTTTAGTTCGAGTTTAAATTATGATGCCAATATTTATAAATGACCATTTCCTCAATTCTCAAATTTGCTTTTTTGAACTGCAGTACGAGAATATTAGAAAGTCCATGTCTAAGGAATTTCAAAATTTTAAATTTATATTGGTTAAAGTCAAATTTTGTTGAAAAGTCAAGCGCGTCAAACAAAAAATTCAATAGTTAAATTCTCCTACGTATAAAGGGTTATGCTATCTATATCCGATGATTCAAGGATACGCAGGATAAAAAAAATGGTTTAAAAATAGTACATTGAAATACAAATGCAGAAACGGTATTATTGAAAAACGAGTATAAATGCGATACGAGTTTTTCAATGACCGTTTCGGCATGCGTGTTTCATACTATTTTTTCTACGAAAGTGAAAAATTCTTCTCTAGAAATTAGAAATTTTAACTAGCCAAATAACGACAAAAAATCGTATAGTCTGATCGTAGTTGGATGTTTCAATTGTAAATGATCCAGTAAGCCGGTTGCCATGACAAAACATAATTGTTTGAAAAATCGTAAATTTAAGTCAAACAATTTGTGGCGTAGTGAAGAAGTGTTAAGATAGATTTTGACGAAACTGAAGATGAAGAAGGTATGTGCACCCCGCCGGACGTTGCGGAAATGGCTAATGCGGTTTCGCATGAATTGCTACCCCAAAAGTGTAAGCAGCGTTTCGGAAAGGAGCGTTTTCATAAGAGAACAAATCGCTAAGTTTTTGAGAGAAGCGCCTGATGAAACATTTGTAATGATGAAGGTTTGTGAATTTCTTATTGTATTTTTAAATCATAAATAAGCATAGTTTAATTACAGGTTGCTCTCGTCCTTGGAGTGGCTGGAGCTTGCCGTCGGAGCGAACGTTGTAAAATGACTGTAACGGATTTCACAGAACAAGATGCAATTTTATTGATACTTAACGATTCCTGACTCCAAGAATCATGTCCCAAGAACGTTTTCTGTAGCCGAAGGCAAAGAAAATTCTACCATTGTCTGTCTTAGATAACGAAACTGTGAATAAAGCAATACAATTACAAAGAGTTACTTCGCATATGTTTATTAGCGTGTAGAAAATGCGTGCAGAAATAACTATTGCCGCACTAGTGTTTCAAAGACCTGTTTTCACAATCAATTTACCTACAAAAACAATCGTGTTTCTACACTTTCGTAGAAAAAATGTATTTGACATCCAAGCGACCGTTTAGGTCAAATTTCTCCAATTTGGATTCTATGGCTGTATTGCGATGAGATTTGAAAATCTGAAACTCTCTGATTAAATGAGGGTATGTTACGTTAATCGTTTATGTGTAAAGCTATAATAATAGATGAAAAATTATGGCTATAGAGACGGAACGTTAATTCAATTACGCAGAGTCGGAATAATTTAAGTAGCGCTACAGGACCTATATTTCTGATATTACATCTCTTTTACATACTTTTAATACAACGCTCATATTTAAATTAATATGCTTTAGCCAATGTTTGATATTGGTGG